CTGGCATGTGGTGCTGGGGATCGAACCGCGGTCCCTTTGCTTTGCCAAGCTTGTTCCAAGTAGGTGCTTTAGACCACTGAGCCATCTCACCAGCCCCAACCATTTATCTCTTATTTTCTAGTATTAGTGATTTAAAAAAAAAAACAAAACCTCACAACCACAGTTCCATAATCAGGGACAACCATTACAACATTTTAATCCTTGTCATTCCAACTGCATGTCTACAACCTAGAATTCCATTAAAGACTGGAAGGCCTGGTTACACATTTAAGAATAGGTAACTGCACACAAGCCATAGTAAGGAATACTTACTTTTATTACACTAGAAGTTCAGCACCATCAGGTTATATGAACACCTTCTTGGTCAACTCTAGAAATCCTTGACAATTTAGGGGAGGGCTTCCAGCACTTTGGAAAACCTGTCACAAGTCCAGAATCCAGGCAGTAACTCCACATGGCACCTCATCCTCTGGGCCTCACCCTGCCCAGAAAGGCTTTTCCTTCCACTTCAGAAGCAGATGTGCCCAAAAGTTGTGGCCCAGAGCCATTCCAAAGAATGTCCATTCAATCCAAAATTTCTGACTCACTCAGAGAGATTTGGTCTTCAACACAAGTACTTCTTAGGTCATAGCTAGAGCCTAAGAAATCTAAGTGATACTTGTCCCCAAGTCCCAAAACCTCTTCCATTACCAAATGATAGCTATTCTGTCTCAAAACCTCACCACCTCAGAGAGCCCCTATGAATGATGCCTGGTGGGCCTCTTGTCATGCATCTTCATGGGATTCCTTCTTCAGGGATTCCTTTCCTTGGAGCAAAGATCTTTCCACCAGGCTCTCTGGAACATTCACTGCACAGTCCATGTAGTGGTTTTCTCCTGAGTGTGTAGGCTCCCTGCCATCTGTCCCTCTGTGGACCGCTCACTGTCTCTACTCCACAATCTTCATTCCATACCCCAAGGCAAGGAGTAGCTGCAGACATCTCCCATTCCCCATTGCTCTTCAATTTGTCCCTCCACAGCCCTGTGAAAACCCAAGGCTCATGTTGTATACATCCTTTGGGTCCCAGCTCAGCAACGAGGCTGAGGCGGGAAGACTGCAAGTTTGAGGCCATCTTGAGCTACACAGGCTATCTTGAGGCCCAACAAAACAAACATACAAAAACCTCCTCCTCCCTCAAGTTTACATTCTCTTCTACTATTGACACCCTGTCATTTCTCTTGATGCCCTGAACACCGGAGCACCTGGCTGTCCAGCTTCCTTTCAAAGCCCCCTGCCCTTGAGAGCCAGGTGGCCAACTATACAGCACCTTCCTCTCTCTGCACCCCACCATCTCTCCAGACTGTCATCAGATGGAAATTCACTTATCTCTCTCTCTCAACACCCCTGTTTCTCAGTCTCTTGGGACTTAGAGTAGATCCTGAATATCCTCTCCATTCATTCCTTTCCTTTCCTTTCCTTTCTCTTCCTTCCTTCCTTCCTTCCTTCCTTCCTTCCTTCCTTCCTTTCTTCCTTCCTTCCTTCCTTCTTCATTTGGCCTCAATTCCATAGCCTATCATTTCAAACCACAATACCTAATGCTCCCTCCCATCGTCCATTCTCCCAGCTC